CCCGGGGCCCGTGCTGGGGCGCTCACACCTGCCTCCCCCTGAGGGCGCCTCAGAGTGTTTTATTCGAGAGTTGGATGTGTCCTGTGGGTTGTGCGGCCGGGCGGAGGCGAGGTGGCCCTGACACTGTGTGGTTGTGTTGGGTGTGGGGATGGGCGGGTGGGTGTGTGTGTGTGTAGACTAAGGAACAGGCACAGCCTGACAGCACGTCTTTTCCTAATGTCTATGTCAGTGTCCTTTGGGGATTCAGGGCTGTGACAGGTGGGCGTGTGCCCTCAGGGTTAGGCCTGGGGTGAGATGGCACTAGGACAGTCTCAGGTGGATCCATCGTTGTTAATCACCAGCCGTGAGCTGCCACGGAGGAGAAGTAGAGTGTGAGGAAAACATGTCGTGCCTCTGCTGGGCCTCTGCTGGGCCTCTGCTGGGCCTCCGCAGGGCCTCTGCTGGGCCTCCACAGGGCCTCCACAGGGCCTCCACAGGGCTGGAGGGCCTCCAAGAGCCTCTGCTGGGCCTCTGCTGAGCTTCCACAGGGCCTCCACTGAGCCTCCACAGGGCCTCCTCTGGGCCCCACAGGTCCTCGGCTGGGCCTCCGCCCTGCCTGTGGCCAGCTGCCCACGCCTCCGTCTCTGAGGAGGAAGACCCAGTCATACTGGATTGCAGTCCTTGCTGACAGCCTTACTTAATCATTTCCAGATGTGGCCATGTTCTGGGGACTCGGGGTTGGGACCTCAACACGTGACCTTTAGCTGACCGTTCATCACTGGATGGAGCTCCGGGGGGACGGGGACTTGGCTGGTCTCTCTGTGTGTCGACCCTTGTCACCTGCGACCCCACTGAGGGCTGCTGAATGAGGCGGGTCAGCCCAGGGGAGGGGCTGCCCGGGCTCCAGGCTGCGCCCCCAGGCCCCAGGTTTTAAAGAAGGAGGAGTGGGGGTGGAGAAGAGAAGGGAGGCAGTGGCCTCCGGCCCAGGGGGTGCTGTCTGGCGGTTCAAAGACTCTGCAGCCCATTTGCTACCTCGGCCCCACCCACCCTGTCCAGTCCACAGTGACCGCCCTGTCCAGTCCCTCAGTGTGCGGCGCTCCCTCCTGCCCCAGGGCCTTGGTGCGGGCTGCTCCCTCTGCTTGGAGCAGCGTGGCTCAGTCTTCTGTGTGGCCTGCTCCTTTTCGCCCCTGGGCTCAAGCGGCTCTGGGTGACGCCACCATCTGAAGTGCCCGCCCACCCTGGCCGTGGCCCCTGTGTGAAGCTCTCCCTGCCATGCATCGCCTTCTGAACTACCTACTCTCCCACGTTCCCTGGGGAGGCCGCACCCTGGCAGCCTGCCGCTGGAGACGTGCAGGACACGAGGCTCGTCAGGCAGGACAACTCCAGACGTCCCTGAAACAGAGCTTCAGATGTGACAGGACCCTGGAGCCGACTGTGGCTGCTCCTGGCCGTCAGGAGCTCTGGCCGGTCGGGTGCTGCTTCCTACAGGTCCACGGGTGCAGCTTGGTCCCTTCACGGCTCTGGCCTCCTTTGCCTCGTGTCTGCAGGCCTCGGTGCCTTGGCTTAGCATCTGTCCCCTCCTGGAGGGGATGGTGGCTCGGGGCAGAGAGCCGACACTGCCTCTGTCTTGTGTTCTGCCGTTTCTTAACTGTGCGGGCCTCGGCCTGTTTCCTTTCTTCTCTTTAGTGATTCACTGTCACTCTTCAGAAAGAGTCTTCGCGAGTCTTCTGGGGGCGGGGCGGGTAACAAGGGATTGAACTCAGGGCCTTAATCCCTGAGCCACGTCCCCTTTTTTCAAAATGAACTTTATTTAGAGTCAGAGTCTCGCTGAGTTGCTTAGGGCCTCGCAGAGTTGCTGAGGCTGGCTTTGAACTTTCGATCCTCCTTCCTCAGCCTCCTGAGCTGCTGGGGTTACAGGCGTGCGCCATTGTGCCCGAGTCTTGGAGTCTTAATTTGAACTTTGTGTTTCTTGATTCCTGTGTTTACTTTTTGATTAAAATCACAGGGCGATGCACCCAAGATGCCAGTTGCCCTCTTGCTCATTTGGAAGCATGCCAGCCGGTGGCATTGGGGACATTGGCAGCCACACGTACGAAACTGACAACCCCTCCCCACCCCTCTGCCCACCCCTGGGCAGCACCAGGCTGCTTTCCGCCTCTGGGGACGGTCCTGCTCCTTCTCTCCGCTTCCCCAGCAGGGCCTGCGATACAGGAGGTGCTCAGCCACCCCGTCCACAGGAGCGCCAGGGCCTCGCGTGGCAGGCGCCACGTCTGCCTAGATCTGTGCACCACCCGGGTGACTTGGTGCCATGTGCGTCGTCCCGCTGTCCTGTTTAAGGAAGGGTGACAAGACCAGCGGCCTCTCTCTGTCCCGCAGGCCTGCTGCTCCTGGTCAGCCTGGAGGTGTTCCGCCACGCGGTGCAGGCGATGCTGCAGGGAGCCGCCCCGGAGCCCGGCCCGGCCCCGCGCCTGGCCTATGAGTACTCCTGGTCCCTGGGCTGCGGCGTGGCGGCCGGCCTGGTCCTGCTGCTGGGCGGGGGCTGCTTCCTGCTGCTCTCCCTGCCTTCCTGGACCTGGGGGTCGCTGTGCCCCAAGCGAGGACCCCCGGCCACCTAGAGCCTCCGCCGTGCCTCCCAGGCCCCGGAAGACCTGCCCGTCCCCCGGAGGACTGGCCCTCCCTGGGCCCCTGCACCTGCTCCCACCAGCGCCTTCTCCTCTGGGAACACGCTCTTCTCGCTCTTCTGGGTGGCTGACTTGGTGTCCTGGGGTGGGACAGGAAGAGGCTTTCTGCACCTGAGGGTTCCCTGGGGGGGCTGGGGGGACCTGATGGGGAGACTGAGGCTGGGGTGGGTGGGGGGTCTCGGAGGGGGTCGGGCCTCCCTTTTCCAGGTCTGGACTGGTTCCCCTGCGGAGAGACTCCTGAACCTGCAGCTCGGGTGGGATTAACTCACCGTGACCTAACTGTGACCGGATTTGAGATTAAAGATTTGGAGAAGGAACGGCTTTGATTTGGAGTGAGTCTGTGACGCGGCCGTGCTTTCTGGGGCAGGGCGGAGCAGCCTGTGTCCTCCCCAGAAACCCGCCATCACACCTGTCAGCCCTGGAGTCCCGCGGGAGCCCAGGGACGTGGAGACAGGAGTGACGTGGGTGACGGTCGACTCGTGTCCCCACCCAAGGCCACGTGCTGGGGGCCCGACCCACAGTGCCTCAGAGTACAGCCTGGTGGGGAGAGAGGGTCAGCGGGGACCGGGTGACCGGCTGTGTCCTTGTGAAAGGCGGATGTGGACACAGACGCACAGAGGGACAGGCACCTGAGGGAGCAGCGGAGGAGGAGGCCCGACCACCCTCCCTCCCCGCCTCGCGGGGTCCAGGGGTGGGGGACAGGGGCTGAAAGACGTGGAGGTGGCTCTGGAATCGGGTGCTGAGCACAGGCTGGGCCAGCTGTGGGTCGTGAGAGAAGCAGCCCCGGTCCCCGGGAAGCCTGGGGAGACTGTGGTGTCCTAACAGGGGACATTCTGGGGAGGGTTAGGAGGACCAAGGAGCAGGACAAAGGAGTGGGTGCCACGGACCCCCCACCCCAGTACTCCCAGTGGGCGTGAGTGGGCACTGTGGTCAGGGCCAGCTTCTTCCCTTTGGAGACCTCATGCACCTGGCACCTCCTGTGTTCTGGGCACTGGGCTGAGCGTTCATGAGCGTCATCTTGGCAACAGGCCCAGTGCTGCTGAGCTGCCGTCCGTGGGCTCGTTGGACTGCTGTAAGCACAGAGGATCAGAGCAGTGAAGCAACTTTCTCCAAGTCACACAGATACTGAGTGGAGAAGGTGGGGTTCACACACGGATCTTCTGCACAACCATCCTCACACGTGCCAGGGAGTGTGAGAGGAGAGGGAGGATCAGCATCCCTGGAAACGAGGACCTCCCACCTCCATCCGTGAGCTTGGAAGGGGTCACGTTAGTTACTGCACCGAGTAGTGAGGTGACGTCACGCTGGTTCAGATGGCCCACGGCCAAGGTCAGGGAGAACAAGCTCCAAGGAGCTTTAGACGAGAGGAGACCTGGGAGACAGGCCAGACGCAGACGGTGCAGGGTCCTGGGGCAGAAATGGGCCACCGACAGAAACACTGGCTAAGTCGGAGGCCTCACGGGCCTGACCGACATGGTCATCTGGGGGGTCACTGCAGGGGAGACCAAGGCCTGGTGAGGACCTGGGGCCCCTCTGGACTGCCTTTGCAGCTTTCCCGTTGTCTGAGATGACTCCAAAGGGGAGGTCCCTTCCCACAGACAGACTCCACCCGTGGGCCGGGAGCTGGGTCCTCCTGGGACACCTGTCATCCCCGATGTGCTGGGCAGCAGGCAGGAAAGTGAGCTGGACCTGCCTCCCAGCGCAGCTCGGCCGGGCCACAGGGCAGCTGGCGAGTGCAGAGGTGGGGGCTCCAGCCGTGAAGCCCAGAGGGGGAAGAACCCCTGGGGAGGGGGCTTGGCTCAGGCTCGGGAGGAGGAGACCCCTAACTTGAGTCTTAGGAAGAGTAAAAGCCGGCGTTGGGCTCCTGGGCTCTGGGCATTCCAGGTAGGAGGGAGACCAGAGATGGCGGAGCCTGTGAGTGGGGTCTAGGGGGCAAGAGAGGCTGAGGTCTCAGTATGGAGGAGGCGGGGAGACCTACCTGTCCAGCTGTGTCACTTGGCCTTTGTCTGCGGGCACTAGGGAGCCATGGCGAGTTGTTGAGCAGAGGCAGGCCGAGGGGTTAAAACAAATTTCTTGTTCTTGAAATGATAAAGTCATAGACACAGAAGGGATTGGTGGTTGCCAGGGGTTAGGAAAGATTGGGGGTGTCACAAAGGAAGGCACTAGGAAGGATCCCTCGTGACAGAGATGACCCAGCCCTCCAAATAGAGAAATCCCCTGGGTATGTTTTTTCTGAATTAAACCTTTCATTTTTGTGGGGGTTTTGTCCGGTTTTATTGAGGCGTCATTGGCCACAGTGTAAATATCTAAGATGCGTAAGACGGCGCGTGACATAGCTGTGCCCTGAACGTCGACCCGGTTGGGCGGACCCACGGGCTGCTGTGCTGAGCCTGAGAACTCGTAAGACCCCTTGCTCTGCTGCCATCACCCTCTGAGACCTCCTGGAGCGTGCCGGGCCATGTCCCCAGAGTCTGGCATGACTGACCTCACTGCAGGTGACCTCACTCTGCCACGGGCTGCGTCCGTCGACGTTCAGACATGGAACATCTCGAGTCCCGCCATGCATTCAACACACCTCACCAGGGACGTCACCGCCCAGCCACACACATGCTGCCGAGATGGCGGTTTCCCCGTGTGACCCCGGACCTGCCACCAGGTGTCCACCAGGTGTCCAACCCCGGGAAAGATCAGCTTCAAAATTCAAAGTGTGGTTTCTTGTGAATACGTATTGCTTTTGCACCATTTTAATCCACAGAAGCATGAGCCCGGCAGGTTCATACAGGTACCGTGGGACGTAATAGGTTCTGTGTTTGGCATGTTCCCTGTTAATCTTCTATGGGGAATGTGGCGTTCATGTCCTATAGCATGACAGCAGGGGTAGTGTCATTATAGGTTGCCCCAGGGTTGAAAGCCACCGAGAACGTGGCTCTGCCATCCAGGAAATGTGGGGGACCACTGGGGGGCAGTGCTCCCCTGGCTCCTGGTGTGCCCAGCACAGTGCTGAGGGTGCAGAGGGCAGAGAGCCGGGCGTGGGCCCCTCCTGGACCCAGCAGGCAGAGGCCGTGTCCCCCTCGGTGCAGCGCCTGGACCCAGAGGGGCAGGTTCAGCCCCGAGCGACCTGGGGGCCTCTGGATGTCTCTATTTCTCCAACCTCCCAGACTTCACGGACCTCCCAGGGTCACTGTGAGGAGCAAATGCGATAATAATCCCCACAGAGCGGCGCGGGGCCTCCTGGCACCCGGTCGTGGGACTTGTATGGAGTGGCACTCCCGGCCTGGCGTACAGTAGAGGGCAAAGCAGGACCCCTGTGGAGCCTACGGCGTGTGGTTGGAAACAGATATTAATCACATCTCCACACTAATGAGTGTGTAATTATAAACTGAGATAAGTGCCGGGGAGAGATCCGCAGCAGCTGCCCTTCCTCTCCGACTCGGTGCCCAGCTAAGGGAAGCCCAGAGCCGTCTTGGCCCCGGGGTGGGGGCCTCACTCTGGCCTTCCGTCCCACCTGGGCTCAGGGAGGGAAGCGGCAGGCCTGAGACGGGAGAGAGAGCCTGGCAGCCCTCGCTGACCACGGCCCCACTCTGCTAGGCTGCTTTGCGTCCCTGTCACAGAATACTCAAGAAGTCAACTTAAAAGGAGGGAAGGTTTCTTTTGGCTCTCAGCTTCAGGCTGTGGTCACTTGGCCCTGCCTGTCCTTCCAGGGCAAGTCCTGATGACCAGCTTCTCCCACGGGTCCCACCCCCTAATGGAGCCAGCACCTCCCAACAGCACCGTGGCCCTTGGCCCTCAGGACGCCCCTGGTCCAGGCCAGCGCCCGTGTGGGTGGGGACGGCCGTGCATGCACCCCTTTCTGTCTGTCTCTGGGGTGTCCTGGTGTGCTGCCGAGGTTTCTGGGCACACGCTTCTCGGTGGCCTCGAGCTGTGCCTACTTGGTGCATCTCTGCAACTTCTTTGTATCTGTGTGTGTGTGTGTGTGTGTGATGTCTGTCTGCAGGTTTCTACTTGTCCATCTCTACCTGGCCCAGGCGTCTTCACAGAGGGGGATGGGAGGGAGGAGGAGCTTCCCTCTGACCACGGCCTTGGCAAACCCAGAAAGGGGAAGCCACGGGCCTCGTGGGAAGGAATCAAGAGGAACTGGCCCTGGGCACATCCCTGCCTAGCTGCGTGACTTTAGACAATTTGCTTCCCCTCTCTGTCTCCGTTTCAGCTGTTACACGGGGTAGTGATGTTCCTTTTTAGTGGCATTGCTGGGAGTGAGCTAATCCAGGTAAAGTTTCCAGCAGGCCTCTGGCACAACACCTGGGCCACGCATGCTGGCTCTTTGGGACGTGACGATGGTTGTCATGGTTTGGGTGTGAGGTGTCCCCCAAAGCCCCTGCCAGTGCAGGGATGTTTGGAGGTGACATGGTTGGCCTGTGAGAGCTGTCCCTCCATCAGTCCGTCCTAGTCTGAATGGACTGACTGGGTGGCCACTGTGGGGCGGGGGGTGGCCGGAGGAGCTGGGTCACTGCCCTGGAAGGACTGGTCTTCCGGGGGCCCGTCCCAGCCCTGCTTCCTGACTCCCCATGACGGATGGCTGACCCCCTCAAACGCAGCCTCAGAGCAGGGGAGCGGCTGCCATGGAACTCTGAACCCCCGAGCCCCGGGAACTTTTGCTCCTCCAAGTCGTTCTAGTCGGGCGTTTTGGTCTCGGGGACGTGAGGACGCGCCTGGTAACGCAGGGCGCCACAGGCAGGTGATGAGGCCGCGACTGTTTTAATCTCACCATCCGCCATTCAGTTCTGCCTTCCTCACCCGCCCTCTCAGGAGTGACTAGCTGTGCTGGAGAGGCCCAGAGTCCCGAGGGACCGTGGGGAGCAGGGAGGTGCCAGAAGCCAGCCCGCTGGACGGAGGCTAATGAACTTGAGCTCCTCCCGCCTCCCAAGCCACTGGGTGACAGGCACGTGCCACCTTGCCCAGGAAGCAGCCTCGGGGTCCCCCCTCCAGCTTCCACGACTGGCCTGTCCCTTTGTGGCCAGCTCATTTCTCTCATTGGGAGGTCCTCGAGGGGCAGGGGCCGGTTTCCCTCTGTGTACCCATCAGTCTATCAGGTCACGGGCTGCTTTGCCTCCTGGTTGGTGTGCAAGACTCTGCCTGAACGCGGCCGCGGACACCCGTCCGATTCCCCGCCTCCCATGCTTGGCCTCTCTGCCCAGGTGTGCAGTTGCTGGGTCACGGCGGCTTCCATTTGGAGCTAGGATGTGGTGTACGAGTGTTCGCTGTGTCAGTCGAGGACGCGCCGTGAGACAAGCCTGCAGGAAGGGGACTTTAAGACTCAGATGTTGCAACCCAGTGACTACAGTTAATAACAACGTGCGTGCTGTGTTGAAGACCTAGGAGAGTAGATTTTAAGTGTTCTCAGCACAAAAGGGAAAAAAAAAATGCTGATCGGCTGAGCGCTGTGGGGTAATTAGCTGGCGCTCCCCATTCCCCCACGTTACATTTTCAAAACATCATGTTGCTCACCGTTAATTTGTACAGTTTTTATTTGTCGACTAAAAGCCAATTAATTAAAAATAAATCAGTAATGGAGAAACATTTCAGTTTAATACTGTGGTGGGGAAGGAGTTTGCTGCCGAAGTAACCACATCATTTCCCGAGGTTGGCAAGGGGCACGCTGCGGGGTGGAAGACGGGCACAACGGCCAGGGTGAACGCCCACCGTGGCTGTCCCCTCGGCAAGGGACGAGGGTCTTTCCAACAGGACAGGGCCCCATGTCTCAGCCCCTGCTCTGCTTTAGGGAGCCCTGGGGACTTGGGTCAAAGGCTTGGGGTGGAGATGGGGACATGGTGTGGAGCGGTGCCGGTGAGGCTGGCTTAGGTAAGGAACAGGGGTCACGTTTTCATGACGGATGCTCTGTGCACACTAGAGGTAAGGCAAGAGCCACTGAAGACTGGGACAGAAAAGTGCCTCCCTCCCCCTCTGCCTGTGGTGGGCAACGGCATTGGCCGCCATCTGGCTGTAGAAATGGCAGCAGTGCCCTGGTCCCCACAGGGCTGCAGGAGTGATGGCCCTCGCCACCGTGCTGTCCAGTCAGGACAGCTGCCTCTCCCCAGACAGCGCCTCTGCCATGGCCAGCTTCTGGGAACCCCACCACCCCTCTCCGTGGCACGTGCTCAGGAGCCTGTGGTCAGGGATGCACACGGCATGGTCAGTGGGCTCCTGCCCGCTGCACGACACCGGCTCAGCTGGGGTGGCTGTGGGTGTCTTGAGCTCAGGGTGCTGGACTTCCCTGGAGTCATCTGGAAGCTTCCCCACCCACATGTCAAGCTGGCCAAGCCGGGGGACAGTGACTACAAGCCTGCTACCTAGGTGGCCAGCATGGTGGCCTCAGGGCCACACAGTGCAGCATTTGGTTCAAAAACCAGGCAGAAGTTGGGTCACCTTTTATGACCTAGACTCAGTGTCACTTATGCCGAACCAGCACGGCTCACCAGGGGACGGCCAGTGTCGGGCAGCCGGTGGCAGAGCGGCAATCTCTCCTCCAGGGTTCGAGTATGGAGCTGGGTTTGGAGGAGTTGCTGGGTGTGGTGAAGCCAGACAGGAGCAATCGTTCTTTGCAGGGCTTGAGGGAGAAGGTGCAGGTGGACCAAGAACTTAAAATAAGCACCTCTAGGCACCGTGGCACACGCCTATAGTCCCAGCTATTTGGGAGGCTGAGGCAGGAGGATCACAGGTTCAAGGCCAGCCTCAGCAACTCTGCAAGACCCTATCTCAAAATAAGAGTTACAAAGGGCTGAGGATGTGGCTCAGGGGTAGAGAGAAGGCTGCTGGGCTCAATCTCCAGGACCAAAAATTAAAATCAAGTAAGCATGAGAAATACACCAAGAGAGGTAAGGAAACAGGTTAGCCACGCGAAGCAAGAACAGTGATCTACAAAGCCAGGAGTCTGTGAACATAATGGGTATGACGATGTATGGTGGTGAATAAAGAATGTGGGGCTACCCTCTGACCGACAACCAGCAGCCTGGGTAGAGCTGGAGTGCTGACTGGGGAACTTCTCCAGGCCACGCCCGTCATTCCGCGATTCCAGAGGCTGAGGCAGGAGGACCGCAAGTTCAAAGCCAGCCTCAGCAACTCAGCAAGGCGCTCAGCAACTCAGTGAGACCCTGTCTCTAAATAAAATACAGAATAGGGCTGGGGGTGTGGCCAGTGGTCCAGTGCCCCTGAGTTCAATCCCCAGCACCCGCACCCCACCTCAAGAAAAAGAGAGAGAGAAAAGGAAAAGAATCCACTTGGACAACACGGATGAAGCCGGAGCACCTTCCATCAGGCGAAACAATCCAGGCAGCGTCTCCTCCCACAGGGACCTAAGCCCACACTATGGAAGCAGAGAGTGGATCGGCCCGTCCCAGGGGCTGGGGAGGGATGGGCCAGTGTCGACCACAAGACTCAGGGGGTTGGGGAGAGAGGAGGGATAAACTCGGGGATCTCCTGGGCTGCTACTCTGAGGAGTCACCCGGCTCCTGGACCCATCTGCCCTGAAGTGACCCGCCTCTGGCCTTGGGGTCAGGGGAGGTGTCTCTGTGGCCTAAGCCCCTCCAGCAGGGCCTTCCAAGCGGGGGGCCTGCCCTCCTGCAGGTGGAGGGGCCTCCAGCCCTCCTCCCCATCTTTTTGAGATCCACGTGAAATAAAGTCCCCGACTCCACTTAGTGGTCAGCTTGTGGCAGTTCAGCTGGGCAGGCGTGGCCAACACTTCCTTGTCTTTGATTTGGTTTTAGTGTCCAGAGACAAAGTCACACCACATTGAAAGACCTAACTGGCTTCCGTTTGCCGTCTTCAATCCGACAACACCCTGCTCTACAAAGTAGGAGGGCCGTGCGTGGGCTGAGCAGGGAGGTGGGCTTTACAGACAAGGATGAAGAGGTGGCAACGTCACTTCCGAGCTACCGTCCCAGTGGGGTTAAAGCAGAGGGGACGTCCTTGTCACGCTGACTCAGGTAGACCGGAAGCTCCTGTGTTTAGAAAACAGGCCTTTATTAGAGTCCGGTTTGATGACGTGGCCCGAGGCCCAGGTGACTCCACTGGGGTTTGGTCTTGTCACCTGGGCCCAGAGCAGGAGGCTAGTCCAACACTGTAGCTCCCCCAAAAAAGTCTGGTGATGGGGACTCTTCTTGGAAGGGAACTTTAAGATCCTCAGTGTCAGCATTTCTCCCAGGGACGTTTAAGGTCGCCAGGTTTTATTAAGCAGATTGGGATTTGGATGAGACAGATGAAGCTCAAAGGTGATGTAACCAGCTGAGCCCTTGAGCGGCTCCGCCAGCGACAAGCTCCACAGATTTATTTACTCAGGAGTTTTGTGGGGCCCAGGCGCCTGCAGAGATGAACACAAAACCCGGGAAAACCGTCCTCTCCGCGCTTAGACTTGAAGGGACAGAGGGGCAGAAGGTGGCTGGAGGAGGGCGCGGCCTGGTGGCAGGGCTGGGACAGAGACCCGGCAAGGCGT